CCCCCACGTCCTGCCAGCCATGGCCTGGCCCAGCCCTTCCCCAACCAACCCCCCCCCAAACCCCCACATCTTCCCAGCACGGCCTGGCGGGGCTGTGGGAAACCCTCTGGCACCCACGACAGCCCAGGGGGGCTGCACCAACCCCAGGTGAGGCCGCGAGGCTCCCACCCACCCCCCGCCCCATTTACCTGGGAGGAATTTCAGGGACTGCAGCATGCGGCGCTCCTGGGTGAAATCCACCATCAGGTGGCTCATGTTGTCGCTCACCTTGGCCTTGAGCGAGAGCCGGAAGGCTGGGGCCATGGTCACGCTGGGGGGGGGGGTGAACGGGGGACAAGAGTCAGAAGGGCCCCTTCCCAGAATGCACCCACACAGCTGAGCCCCCCCCCCCATTCCCTCCAGACTAGGGGGCGCTGGGAAGCACCCAGGTTCATCAGAGACCATCCACCATCTGTGTTCATACTGAGCCAGGACCCAAGCTGTCCCTTGTTTCCCCCCCGCCAGGAATGCTGGGGTCGTCTTCAGTCTTCTGTGACCGGACATCCTGCCCCCTTCTCCTCTCCAGCCTTGGGGGCTCACTCCCAGGGCTCAGGGCAGCAGGGAGAGGACGGTGCTACCAGGCTAGCCTACGCTATGTTAGTAAGAAGGCGCAGCACTCCGAGCGGTGAGGAGCGGGTGATGGCATGGGGGCGGGGTGAGAGACAGGGGCGGCGGGTACCGTACCTATCCTTGATCTGCTTGGCAGCCTTCGAAGCAGAGAGGAAAAGAGAGAGAGAAAAGAGGGAACAAAAAAAAAGAGGAGGAGAGAGTCAGACAGGGCAGCCAGGTGCGTTATAAATAATAATCACCGTACTCTGTGCTGCTGTAGCGCTCCCTAGCGGAAGGACTCAGAGCCCGTCAGGGACACAAATGCACAAAGCTGTGAGGTCAGCATTTTAGTGGGGGAAACTGAGGCACAGAGCAGGAAAGTGGCTTTCCCCAGGTGAGCAAGTCAGCGGCAGAGACAGGAAGAGAACCCAGGAGTCCTGACTCCCAACCACCTTCATCTAGCCACTAGACAACATTCCCATCCCAGAGCCAGGAGTAGAACCTGGGTCCTCTGCTCTACCCACTAGGTAACACTATCCCAGAGCCAGGACTAGAAACTCAGAATCCCGACGCTTGGTTCCTGCTCTACTACTAGGTATCACCTCAAAGGCTTCCTGAAATCAGCAATTCTCTCTCTGTTTTAAGCTACATCCCAGGACTCCAGTCTGGCCTGTTTCTCTGTAGAGGCTGGCCTAAGTTACCTTCACAGGAGCTGCAGTTCCCTTCTCACCCAGGATGGGGTGATCCCAGTCTACATCATCATATAATCCAACGCAGAGTTAACCTGCGGACCTCACTGCCGCTGGAGATTACAGAGGCAAATAGCTTAGTAAAATTCAAGAAAGGAGTAGGAATTCCCAGGAATAAGCGCAGCCTCCACAGTTACAAGGTATAGCGACCTTCATGCTTCTGGATTGCGGGGAGGCGGGGGTCAGGAAGGTGTCTGCTCCCCATAGGGTGACATTGCAGAATCCAGGGCATTACGGGGTGGGGAGGAGGAGGGGTCTTCGGCTGAAGCATCCACTGGTGGGGCCAGACTGGTGAGGTCATCGGTATAAGATCCAGTGTGACAATGTTCGTGATATTAAGGGAAAACGGACTAGGGGGCAGAGCCGGGGCCCAGGACAGGAATAGATAAGGAGCCTGAAATCTCAACCCTGCACCATGGACCCACCCTGGTCCCTCCCCGCGGTCCAATGCATGGCATGGATTTAACAACCCTCTGCCCTGGCCCCCCCATGCTCAGCTGCACCCCTCACTTTTCCCATAGCCTGGGCACTATGTGGCTGAACACGGCTGGGCTGCTGGTACAGTCTGCACCAGGCCGAGCCCCATGTCCACTGCAGAGACTGTGGCACGGCCTGGAGAACCTACACCAGCAGCCCAAATGCATTCAACTGTGGCTGGGGTGGGGACCCAGGGGAAGCTGGGGGAGACATGGGGGTGTCAGACACTGGATCATGGATGCCAGAGACTGGATGCTCCCTTAGGGTCTGGCCTTCCCCCTCCCCCAGTGATCAGCTCCCCACACCAGGAGGGGGCATCCCACAACGTGCCCCTGACTGCTACACCACAGGGGTTAGTGCGCCCCCCCCCAGCTCGCCCTCCGCCCCACCAGGGGGTGCCTTGGCTCCAGCTGGGGGCGGGGGGGAGTGGGGACGCACCTGGTTGAAGTCGTGGTTCTCGGCCCCTTCCAGCGTCTGGTTGGCCGTCTCCAGCCGCTCCTCGGAGCTCTCCAGCGCCTTGGTGCAGGCAGCCAGCTGGTTCTGCAGCGGAAGAGACAGAGCCTGGCCCAGTGAGGGGCAGCAGGGGCAGGGGGCAGCCGGGGGCCCGGCTGGAGCGGGGACGGGTGGCTCACCTGCAGCTCGTAGGTCCGGCTGGCCCGGTCCTGCTTGATCTTCATGAGCATGCCTTCCTTCAGCTCGTCCAGCAGGGAGTACAGGGACTGGAACTCCCCCTCCAGGTCCTCCTGCACCTTGGTGGAGTTCGCCTGGGGGAGACGGGCCAGGGGGAGAGCAGCGCAGGCCCCAGCTCAGGACGGCTACCCCGGCTGTGGCTTGCTGAGCTACCCCCTTCCCGGCCCCGGCCCCTCCCTCCCCAGCCGGCCCCCACCCCAGCCGGATGACTCGGGACGGGCCCCTCGGCTTCGCCCTTCACGATGCTCGTAAAAGTGGCTCTTTTCGAGCAGCGAATTCCATCCCCAAGGAAACACCAGGCCAGCGCCAGTGCGGGGGTGGGGGGCATGGGTGTGACGGGGGGCGCTGCCATGCCAATGCTGGGGGGGGAGGGGCACTGTCATGCCAATGCTGGGAGATTAGTGGGGGGAG